TGGGAAAAATTAACAGATTTGGAAAACTGACATTTTTCTCTATATTAAGAACTCCACAAATATAAACACCAATGGCTGATGCAAACAATTGCTACTCCTTTCCCATGTTATAAATTGTTACAATTCAATAAGGGAAAAAAAAAACCTCTCAACTATGAACCCAAAGTAGGAAATATAAAAGCATCCTGAAAGCATGTTCAATCACAGTCAGGATAGAAATGCTAATTAAAATTTTAATGACATACAACTTTTCATTACTACCACACAAAAACTTAAAGTTTAATACCTCTTGGCAAAGGTGTCAGGAAATAAGTTCTCTCATGCATGACTGAGAATCAAAATTGGTATGATCTTTGCAAAAACCAATTTGGCAAAAAAAAAAAAAAATCAAAATTTAAAAATGTGTAATCATTTTGATTTACAGAATCCATAACCACACCTGTACAAAATGACACATGGGTAAGTATTACAAGGCAACATCATTCATAGCAGCAAAAGGCTGGGGCCCAGCATCATGGACCAGTCTAGGTATATAGAATAGCATGCAGGTAAAGAAGCACACCATGGCCATTAAAATTGAACAAATGCAACAGCTGCAAGTACTGCTATGGAAGGAGAATCAAGACAGGATTTTTATGTAAAAAAAAAAAAAAAAGATGCAGAATAGTTTGTGTAGTGATTATTTGAGTAAAACTATTAAACATTTACAAGCTTATATAAACATGACCCTGGAAGTAGACATGAGAAGTTTCTAGGAACTCTTGCTTCTGCAAGGATAAGGAGGAGTTCCCCTTTCACCTTACTTCCCTTCACATCTTTCTAATTTTATTCTTATATATGTAAAACTCATAAAACAAAGTTTAAAATTGTAGTGAACCAGTCACAGAAGGATAAATACTGCATGATTCCTCTCATAGGAGGCATCTAAAATGTCAAAAACAGACAATAGAATGGTGGTTTCCAGGGGATGTAAAAAGGGGGATGTGGGGAATCACTTGTTCAGTGGGTATACAGTTAGTTATATACAATGAGAAAGTAAGTGATCTGTTGCATAACACAGTGCCTGTAGTTAACAAGATACTGTACTTAAATTTGTTAGTAGAGCACACCTCATGTTAGGTGTTCCGACCACAGTATATACACTCAGCACAAAATGTCACATCCTTTATTTACCCCTTCTTATCCATTGTTACTCCCCAGAGGAATGTCATTACGGGGCTTATAATCTGGGAAGAAGGGAAAAACTGTTGTGGCGCTATATGGGCCAGGCCATTTTCTACCTCTTTCGAGGGCTCTGGACATCAATCTGTAAAACAGACAGTAACGGTGGTTTATAGTAAACAATGATATCCTAAGTGGAAAGAACAGAATGAATGATTGAGGTCCATTCTAATTTTTTAAGTTTTAGCTTAACATGCTCACAGGGAAGTCTCCCTGCAATCTCGGCCCACAGATCCCCCATCCTCTCACTGAGCACTTCAGCACACACCTCATTCTTAGTAGACTCCCCAGTCCCAGCACAAGGACAGACTGCCTCAATGCACCATCATCCCAGGTCCTGGAATTATCACTCCCTTGCAGGCCCTCGCAAATTTAAAGTCATCACCAGTGAGCAAGCCTCCAGCCGCCATTTCTGAAAATGCCCACAAGATGGAGATATCACTGCGCGGATGAGAAAAGCCCTCTGCCTTCCCCAAGGCGGCAAACTCGCTTGTGGTGTAATTATTGCTCATTTGTTCATCTGAATATTTGAAACGAATGGTTCACATATTCCAGTAATTGTGTTGTCCTTCAAAAAGGAAATATTTAGAACTTCTTTGCTTAAAAAGTACATTTTCAAAGTTGAAGCATTTATAAAGTCTGCTTTCATTAAACAGTTGCATATTATATCCCCAGGGGTCTGTGTGAATAGTTCTGGATTTTTGTTGTGTTTTGGCAGTTTCATGAAAATTAATGCTACACTGTTTCTAAAAGAGCACTTTTAAGTAAAGCTGTAAGAGGAGGGCTAGAGATGGATTCATTTTAATACTCCTGCCTTGCCTTAATTTTATGCATTTTTCTCTTCAGCAGTTTCTTTCTCGTCTATTTATCATTCCAAGTTTTATTAGCATCCAACATATTAACACATTTGGAATAAATGGAAAACTCTAAGCTCCTGATGATGCCCAGTTGCATTTCCAAGTGGCCCCAAGGGCTTGAAGGGGTTGTTTAGTTAGCCTGATTGTCTAGGATTTAAGAAAATTGAGCCTGTTTCTAAATTAAGGCAATGGAGTTATAAAGTTCTAGTACTCTACAGGATTCTGGTGCTATGTTCATTAGTTAGGGGTATGCTGATGGTAGGTGTGGGTTCTTTTTGCAAAAATATATGTGACTATTGTCTAATATTTCAATCTCTTTCCGGAGAGTTTTCCTTTGGGTTTCAATAATATATGTGTGTATAAAACATTTCAACAACAACAAAAAAAAATTTTACAAGTTCTACTGAGTTTACACCTCAGTAAAAATAGTCACTTAAAGAATTAAGTCGTCAAAATGAAAAAAAATAAACTGCAAAAATAACTGTTTTCACAAGTGCAACTGACATAATATGCTTGGACAATGGTGTGAGTTGAGCAGCCCTTACGTTTCTTTACTTTTACAGTCACAGAGTACAGGCTAGCATGGTGTGAGAAAGCAGCGGTGGTGCAGCCAGGAGCTTCCTGGTATTAATGAAACTGGGCATGATATTTCAAATGACTCATTGCATGATTTTTTAAAACCGCACAGTGATGGTTTACATGCAAATGTAAAGTAAGTAATAAATTCTTAGGAATGACTTAACTGACCAGGAGCCAGTAGATAGCAATAGTGCAACTTGAAAGGGAAGAGGAGCTGTTCCTGCCATTGCTGTTCCCTAGTGACCTGGTCTCAAGGTGTGCACTCTTCTGGAGGACTTAATCACCATCCCTGCTTTAAGCTGAGGACTGGACTCTCACCACACTGGAGCCTCCAGTACATCTCCCTTGGCGTCACACTTTGCATACCCCAGGCCAAACATTTCTACACCCACTTTGCTTTTCTTCCACCAGGTCTTAGTTCCCCGTTTCTAGCATGCACACACTTGTACAAGCCTGGACCCTCACTCATTCTGCTTCCCCTGCTGGCTCAGTCTCTGCTGCTGAAAAATTAGAGTTGGCTTCTTCTCCCACTTCCAAACATGAACAGCTCCCATGATCTCAGGATAAAGTCTATCCTCCTCCCAGAGTATATTCAAGGCACCCAGGACCCAGCCCAACCCTTCGTGGTTTAACTTCACCACCACTCCAGCAAAGGCACAGCAAGGAGTCCAAGCAGGGAAGGAAATCAGACAAGAATCCTTCAGGATCTGGTCCCGGACCTGCCAGCTAAAACCTGGCCTGCTCTCCAGGGGTTGGGAAGTAGGTAGAGCCTGGGGCTTCCTTTTACCTGGGAAGAACATCCCCAAACCCAGGCCTTTAATAAGCTTGGGGACAACTTAGATCTCCTGTCATTACAGCTTCTTAATATAATGGACTTCTAAACCGTTCCCAACCAGTGAATGGTGAATTCACTAGATCCTTCAACCAGTGCTTACCCCAGTTCTACAATGGCCAGGCCTCAGGTACTGAAGGGGACACAGTAGTGAACATAGCCTTGTTCTAGTCCAAAAGAATTGGTAACTCAGCTGATGTGAGAGACTCATCAAGTATCCTGAGTCCAACTTCAATCTTCCTCTTTTGGCCCCAAATCTTGCATCTTATATGACAAGTGTCATCTCTAAGGTGATCTCTTCAAGTAGTCATCCTAACAGAAAGTGCCCTAGGCTAAAGGACAGAGCTACAGACAGGTAAGGGTACCTTCAGTGTCATCAGCTGGTTTCCTTATTACCGAGACTCAACTTTGCCCGAGAACACCAGACCCAGGGCCATGCTGGGCTGTGGCAACTGAGAATCTGACACCACAGGACTGATATGTCATTTTAGGCTAATGGTGACATGCAGCTAGGCAAATCCCACTGGATACCCCTTCTTCCTGGGACTGTGAAGTCTGGTCTGCTCTACAATCTGACAAAAGCACCTATCACCAGCAGAACAGAGCAAAACACACTTCACAATACACAGAAAAGGACTTGCATGTAAAATATAGTCCCGCTTGCTTTAAATTTGGGATTTACTCAGACCTAGATTTGGGTTGCAATTCCTAATGAATCAGGAGCTGCTGGAAGTTATGTGCCATCACCCTCTGTACCCAGGGGACTTCACACAGTATGTGGACATTTTTACTTGCTCACCAAAATCACCCTCTAAGGTAAAGGTTAGCATAACTGGTATTTTACCCTCAAGGATTAAATGACTTCCAAGGGAGTGAGTTGGAACCCTAGCAGTCAGCACTCTTGCCATGTAAGGGTAACTACTTTTAATTGTTCTAAAATTACAGGTCTTACCTTTCCCTTGTAAACACATCCTTGTGCAACTGCTGGCTTCTAGGAGGAATAATCAGTGAATTTCTGGTGGTCTAATACTCTTGCCAAGTTAAATTCCTTCCATGTACCTTTATAATTTTTCTCTCTTCTGGTAGGTCCTGGATTAATTATAGCACCTTACCTTCTTATTAATTACATAGTACCACTACCTTCTGACTTACATACATTTAATCATTCGAAGGTAAAAACTAATGTGCCTAAGACAAATTGTAGAGCTTACATAACTTCTGAACCATTTTTAAGGTGTGAGTTAAAAACATTCACAGATATTTTAGAAGACATTTCTATACTTTCTCTGGGAAGCATGTTGAGGGGGTGATATGATAATAGCAACAAATCACCTCTAACAAAATATTTTGCAGTGTGAAAGATGGAGCAACCTTCTTGCCTCTGGAACTGCTTCTGTCAAGAAACGCTTCTGACTCTGCCTTTTATCTGTCCCTTCCCTTCCACTATGCTTCATCAGATCGTTTCCCTTCATTTGAAGACAGTGAGCTGTCAGCAATCCTCACAGACTCACCTCTTCAACCTGCCCTCCTGGGGGTGGGGGTGAGAGATAAAGGTATGGGGGGCACACTGGGTCCAGATGAGAATCTTGAGGAGTAGAAAGACCTGTTACCAAAGTTGCTGTATCTAAAAAGTGCAGAAGTTTCACTTGAGGAGAAAAGACTGGAGGAACAGGAACAAGTCAACCCATCACCAAGTTTGAGCAAACCATCTTAATTTTTGCAAAACAGCTCAGTAAATACTGTCACTATTAGTGATTATGTAGCCCACAGGGATTTACTAACTGCTTTGTTCTGATAATAGCTCATTAGAGAAGTTTCTCAAAGTCCCAAACCATTAGGCAGCAGGATTTATGAAAAAGGGTTTAAAGAAAACCCTCACATTTCCTGTCTGTTTAAATGTACATTGAAATTAATTGCTAACATAAATTAAGAATCCAAGTTATTTTCATTTGAACCATAACACAATTTCTTGCCTCTCAGGATGGTACCATGACTGTTAATTCTATCAAAGTTCTGTAGAAAACATCATACACTTGGCCAAGGAAACTAAAATTAATCATTCCGATTTAGATACTTCTGAATCAATTTCATTCACCATCACATGCCCTGTGATAAAGGGGAAACTCTGCCCAGGCCTTCTGGACCAGCTTACTATTTACAGATACATCCAGACTTTCATCCGACAGTTCTCCTGAACCAAAGTTATAGCCATTATGCTTACATGGGCTTTGATCATTTCCGTGTCATCTGTGACAAGTGGAATTTCAGCATTTATAAAATTCTGGAGCCGTCTTCAGAACAGATGCCCTTCGGCAGTTTTTTTTTTTTTGTTTTTTTTTTTTGCTGTCATTACTCAGAATTAGCAGAAAACAAATCATTATTTGGAGCCCTTTTATGGGACCAGACACCCATGATTCGTTACAAATGATAAGGTTTAGAGAGCTTTGTCTCTCAGCCTACCTGGGCACAGGGCAAGGTCAGCTCCTTACTCTCAACTGTTTAGGGGTACTGTGTTAGGGTGTGTGGAACCCTAAAGGTCACTATGATAAATGTGCAACTGAAATTAGTATTAACCCTTCTGAAAAGCAATTTGACTTCAAAGTGTATATATCCTTGAAGAGCATAATTCTACTTTGGGGACCTAATGTAATGAAATGGCATCATGGTTATTTATACACTAAAAGTGACATGCAGGAAACTATTCACTGGAACACATTATTTAGACCGTGGTTAACTAACCAATCAGGTTCAATGCAGGAATGGCTAAGGAAATCCAATATTATTTACTGATAATCATTTTAATGGTTCTGTAATATTCTATCTTGTGATAATGTGGAAAATGTTGATATATAAGCTGAATGAAAATATCAGGATATGAAACTGTAGTGTCTGATCACAACTGTATAAAAATACTCTCAAAAGTAAAAAGCTATGAGTTGACAAAGAATATAAACATAGGACCTCTATTTTAAAAAGGAGAATAGAGATGAAATTTCAGTTTCCAAAAAGAACGAACATTATCATAATAAAAATGAGAATATTTCTATTCCTCAAATCCTGTGCTGACGACTTGGGTCAGCTTGGCTATAGCCCTTTGTTTATTTGGTGTCACATGTTGGGCATGTGCTCTGGGTCAGACACGCTGCCAGGTAGGTGGAGACTCGCCACACAGTTTCACCCCGCTGTCCTACCGTGTAAACACATCACTTTCGTGGACCTGGTTTCTGGGCATTTTTCTTTTCCCCTCTTTAAAAACCTAACATTCCACAGGTCCAGCAGATTAACTGCTTCTCCAAGTGAGCATTAATTTGATTTTTCATGAGGCCACGGAGAAGCCAGAACAATGAAAAGACCATAAAAAGGAGAGAAGGGAGGAGAAAAGCTCATAAGCAAAAAAAAAAGAAAAAGAAAAAGAAAAAGGCAGAGAACAGAGCTGCCGTGAGGAAGGGAACGAGGAGCCAGAGACTCCAGGGACGAGGCTGGGCTGCCTCCACTGTGCACCAACTCCAGCCTGGACAAGTGCCAGCTGTCTGGACGCTCAGTTTGTTGTCCCTCCCCAGCAGCTGAAACAATCCCCTCCGACCACAAGTGTTCATCCTGCAGAATGTTTTAACAGGATCGCGTTGCTAAAATTGCTTCAATGACGTTATGGAAATAAAACAAGCATAATGTGTTTTTCCCTCCTTTGGTTTTTCTAATGACTAAGCAATTAATTCAAATATGTTATCGTCTGCCCAAGTTTGCTTCTCAATTTCAGCCAAGTTAACTGGATCAGACAACTCCACTGTTCAGCGTTTTTACATATAAGTCCGGGAGGGTTCCTTTTCATGACTAACGGGTGGGTCTCTTACACAACCTATTCAACTGCAGTCAACTACTGAGCAGTCAAATCTGTAGCCACACAGGCCTATGAAAAGCACAGCAAGTGAACATCAGAAAATTCAATAAGCACAATATTTATACAGTCTTGAAATTCTCATCAGATCAATTGTAAACTTTGCTCAGTTAAACCAACATCGTTCTTCATTTCACAAGGACGGAGCTGCATTTCAGGGTACAAGCATACTCGACTGGGTAACTCATGTCCCTACTGCTCTCACTCCCCATGTCTGTACATAGTGGTGAAGACTGGAGACCATAGGAGAAAGGACCTGGGGCCTGGGTAAGCCCCATCAGAAGCAGAGACCATCACCAGAAAGTCCAGGATCACCAACGTGGTTTACACCCTGCCAGGAAAGATGAGGTTGCCAAAGTTATCTTTTCCTGGTCAAAGGAACAGCTCCTAAAGTGCACATAGGCACTGTTCTGATGAGCACCAGGAGTCATTTTTGATTCATTCCTTAAAACTGTGGATGATCACCACAATCCCAGGATTTGGGGAGGGTGGGGGTACCAGGGATTGAACTCAGGGGCACTTAATCACTGAGCCACATCCTCAACCCTTTTTACATTTTATTTAGAGACAAGATCTTGCCAAGTTGCTTAGTGCCTTGCTAAGTTGCTGAGGCTGGCTTTGAACTCATGATCCTCCTGCTTCAGCCTCCCAAGCTGCTGGGATTGCAGGTGTGCATCACTGCACCTGGCCAATCCCAGGATTTTGAACTTGGAATAGACCAATAGATAACCAGTAGTTTTGAGGTATTTCAAACTCAAAGTAGTATGGAGCTTTGGAAAACTTGGAATGGAACCACCATTTAATCCAGCTATCCCTCTCCTCAGTCTATACCCAAAGGACTTAAAAACAGCTTACTACAGGGACACAGCCACATCAATGTTTATAGTAGCACAATTCACAATAGCTAAACTGTGAAACCAACCTAGATGCCCTTCAGTAGATGAATGGATTAGAAAATGTGGTATATATACACAATGAAATATTACTCAACAATAAAAGAGAATAAAATCATGGCATTTGCAGGTAAATGGATCGAGATGGAGAAGATAATGTTAAGTGAAGTTATCCAATCCCCCAAATACAAATGGCGAATGTTTTCTGATATAAGGTGACTGACTCATAGTAGGGAGGGGGAGCATGGGAGGAATAGACAAATTCTAGACAGGGCAGAGGGGTGGAAGGGGAAGGGAGGGGGCAGGGGCTTAGCAATGATGGTGGATTGTGATGGACATTATTATCCAAAGTACATGTATGAAGACATGGATTTGTGTGAACATACTTTATATACAATCAGATGAAAAATTGTGTTCTACATGTGTAATAAGAATTGTGATGCATTTCACTGTCCTGTATTTAAAAAATAAAAGCAATTAAAAAAAAAAACTTACCTTATGAGAAGCAGGAGAAAAACTCTGCTGTAACCCCCAGAGGAATACAAAGCCATCATGGAAACAAGGGGAAATGGATTTTCAGATTCACTAGCTCCAGCGCTACTCTTCCTACTGTGGATCTGCTTGAGCCACCCCAAAGGACTTCCCCAACATTTGCTTTCCACTTTTAGAAAGAAGAAACCTCAAGTGGGTGGTGGCCAAATGGGCCACTGCCTTGTAGACTCCAGGGGGCCAAGCAGAGGTAGAACTTGGGAAAGCAACTAGTCCCACAGGAATTCTTAGGGGAGACGATGGTGCTATATCTATCCAGGGACAAATTCACAGCAAGGCTTCATGCCTGACCTCCATCTACCTGCCCACATACCTGAGCCCCTAAAGAGAGATGGCTATCACAGGGACACAGATGAGCTGGCTTGTTTGAATTGAAACATGAAGCCAGGCTACTTCTGATGGAAATTAGATATCATTTGACGGAGGACTGGTTCTGCCAATTAGGTATATATAGATGTTTTAGTAACTGAACGAGTGACATCTGAAGGTTTTGACAAAAATCAACCCATACCCCATAGACAAATTACACCCTTTACAACGATTGAAACTTATGATTAAAAATGGTTTAGACGGGCTACTTAAAACTTCAAGATTCAAAAATCTTTTAGATTATAGGTAAGCAAGTGACCACAGATTACTCCTCCTAATTATTAGATGGAAGGTCTGATAACCCTGGAGATTGGTCATTTTCATGGTGTGAAACAGCCACCCTCCAGGTTCAGGTTTTATAAGGCTTCGTTTAAAATGAGGTACAGCTTCTTGCCAGGCACCCAGGCTCAGGGCCCCCCAAATACAGGCCTCTGTTGAAAGTTCTGATAAGGATCTGCCCAAAGACCCCTGGCAGAGGTATGGCAAGCCCAGAGCAGACAGCAACAGATTGCTAGAGACAGCCAGTGATTCAAGGCTCAGGTGAGGACCCAGTTGTGGAACAGGCTGTCTGTTCTCCCACTCGCTAGCTGAGTGACTCGGGTTAAACTGCTTAGCCTCTCTATGCCCCAGTTTCCTCTCCACAAATAAGGGCTCATCATAGAACCTACTTAAGAGTTAAGTGGTACTTGAAAGTACTAATTTCATGGAAAACACAGGGCCTGGCTTGTAATAAATGTTAATTATTATTATTCTAACATGAGGTGGCCAATCAGAATGATCAACTATCGATTGCAGACAACTGTTTGAAATATACAATCCCATTGTTCCCCAGTTCTCTACCCCAGCAGAGAGCTCCTAATTCAGACAATAATGAAGAGCATTCATATGGCAAACAACAGTTAAACTTACCAGTCAGTGATTGGACTTGTGCATCTCCATCCCTATTGCCAGTAAGATTTCTTATTATATAACTTATTTAAATGATCATGGTTAAGTAGTGTAATTATATCAAGGCCCCCTGAAATGGCTCAAACTGTAATTGTGTGTCATCAACTAGCAATCTTTGAGACGAAAAACGCATATATTAGAAAACAGACAGCTACAGAATAGGGAAAGGAGGAAATAGTAAGACACCCACCTATTAGAAGAGAAAGACCGGAAGTTGTAAGGCTCCGAAGCAGTGTGTGTGTTCCAAGGAGAAGAGTCAGGGGAACTGCTGAAGGAAGGAAAACCCACTCACCAAGCTGTATGGAGGGGGAAGCACTTCCCCCTGCCTGCTGTTCAAAAGTTCTCCATGCTGATGGATGGGTGGGTGTGAGATGGATAGATTTTGACAGACTGTTTAAAAATCCATCGTTTGCAATTATATTAAAACAAAAGATCTTTTTAGTTCAAACACATGACAGTTTTCCTTTGCATTTTATCTACAGTGATTTTATTTTTTGGTGGTTCAGCAAGTTGAACCTAGCTCCTGATACGTGCAAGGCACATATACACTATGTCACTGAGCTATACCCCCAGGTCCTCTGCCTCTTATATAAATACTTGTCACTGATCAGTCAGTGGTCAGGGATTTAGTTTAGGCTACATCTGTCCGCTCTGACTACACCCCACAAGCTGGGCAGAAGACATGTCACAGAATGCAATTAAGGTGCTGTGTTCTCCCCCAGGTTAACCTCAAAAGGGCCCCACACGGGCAAATCTACCTGTTCTCCTTCTGCGGTTCTGCTTCCTTCTCCTTGGTGGGTAAGGGAGAATCCTCAAAGTCATAGGAGAAGAGGTGGAAGGGGCTGTGGGGCACGTAGGGCAGCTTGTCTGTGGTTGGCGACGCCTTCAGTGTGGTGGAGGGGGGCCGAGAAGCTGAGGCAGGATTGGGGGGTGGCAGGAGAGCAGGCCGGGTGGCCTCAGGCCCAGAGGATGGTCTGTGCAAGAGATTCCCTGCTGCTGTGCTGGTTGGGATCCGTTTTTCCTGTAAGGTGTCACTTGAGGTGTCTGGGAGCGCCGAACTCTGGGGAGCAGTACCCTTCTCAGTGGTGCCCTGCTCTAAGGCAGGACTGGTATCTCTGTTGGCCCGGCAGGAGAGGGAAGAAATTTGGGAAAAAAGAATCAAAGTTAGAGAGAGAGAGAAAGACATATGTAAAACCCACTCTGTGGTAGCCATTGACTCCAGTTCCAGCTGTGTTTCTTGAGCACAGGATCAACACCCATCACCAGAAGCTTCAGATTGTCTGTCACTCTTGGCCCCTGGATTGCCCAGTTGGTTGGCTGGGGGTTAGAGGTGCAGGGAAGCATCTCCCAGACCAAGTCTGGGCTCTGGGAGGGATGTGTGAGAATCTTGAAGGCTCTCCTGCATCATTCCCTGCTGCTTGTGTTGGCACCTGAATTTCCACAGTTTGAACTTCATCTATTTGTCTTGGTCAAATAGAGGATCTGTCCTCCTGCTAAAAAGCCCAACCTTGAAGTATCCAAAATGCCTATCTATAACTGCTTTCAGAGCCTTTTTTTGAAACAGGTATAGAGGGGAGAAAAAAAGAAACGCCCATGAGGAATGAGAGCCGAGGTGGTGTAGGGATGAGGGGAGAGATTTCATGCACTGCACTCTCTAGTGCCTGTCACCAAGCCTTCAACATCTGGGCTTCTCCAGAAAGGCCCAGTTATAGACCACGGGTCCCACACACATAGACCCAAGTGGTAACTATGGGTGGTGGTGGATGCTTGTTCATTTGATTATGGTAATCAATATACAATGTATAGACACATCAAGTCATCATATGGTATGCCTTAAACATCCTCAATTAAAAAAAAATCTTCCTATCTTTGGGGACTGGCTTTGGTAACTTGAATACTTTAACACATACCTTTACCACCTGAGAACTGGGGTTAGAGTCCACAATTTTCAAAACCAGAGCCCTCTCCAGGAGAGCCTGACTCCCAGTCATGAGCTTTGAACTGTTTCCTTTCCTACCTCCAGTTCAGAGATGCACCTGTCTAAAGGGGAAGTTTTCCTTGGGTTGATGGGAGGAGCTCACACTGCCATGCTATGGAGTGCATAGCACCATGGGAACACGGGCGTGAGCATGTAGTAAGTAGGATCCAGCAGGAAGACAGAGCAGGAGGGAGATCAGCCCTGCATAAGTGGCAATCTCTTCTGGCACTTTAAGTTTCCACTAAGTAGCAACATCTAGATCAAAGTTAATGCACACGTAGGTATTATCATGATTAAACTCCATGTTTAATGTGCACATTTTTATTTCCTAAAATTGAAAGGCCTAACTAGTCTCTGATGAAGGACGCCCTCCAGCATCACTTCAAGAACTAAGGTGAATAATCATCTACCTGCGAAGACAACAATCCTAGGCGAAGGCAGCACATCATCACTAGGGATGTCTCTGAAGTTTGCCCTTTTCAGCAAGATTATTCTAGCCAGTCTACAGGTCCTGAACCATGTGAATATCTACTTGTCTTTGGATGAGACTAAACACTCACTCTTAAGCACACTTGGAGTCATACTAGTCTATTTATAAGAGTCTACATACTTTCCTGTGACTCATTTTCAAAGTAAAGTGTACTGTCAACCAAACTTCCTTCCCAGAGGACCCATAACTAACCTGGTACATCAGCATGGGCCATGGGCTGTTTCCTGCTGACCCTCCTCCCCTCTAATGTGTGTGACTAATTTTCTATCATTTCTTTCTTCTGTCCACATCCTGCTAGTTTTTTTGCAGATATTTCAAAGGGGGAGGGGAGGCACTCATTAGTTTCTCGGTTTGGAGAGGAGTCAGTGATGCTGGGAAATGGTAGAAAACTCAGAGACAAAGACTTACACATGCACAGACAGCCCAGCAGATGAGGGACCCCATGAACACTGAGGTTAACAAGAGAAATATTTTGCTCTAATTCATCTAAGATCCTTTTGATTTTGCTCATTTGTAGAAAAAAATGTTAATTTGCAATGGCAACCAACTAAATGAAGGAAGCCATTCGATTTCAGAATAATTTTTGAATACTGGAAAATGACATTATCCTTTTTTTAAATAAAAAAATTTTTTTGAGAAAATGGATACAAGTTTTTAAAACATTACAAGGTACCTGAAGACAGAAAAAAAAAAAAAAGCACTTTACTGAGGTGAACAGAGGACAGCAAACTCACCCCAAAGTCTGCACAACTATGTTAGTGATTCTGGGCATAAAAAATACCAGAGTGAAAAATATTCCTGTCTGGTTGGATAAAAAAAATCATACATGAATCATTAACACAGTACTCATCCACACATATTATCTAACATTGTATTAGCAAAATCAGCAGGAGGAAGGAAACACACATCTTACATGCTAACAGACCTAAAATCTTAAAGATGGGTCTTTTCAGTCATTGTCAATCTGGTTGAACTAAAGCACTTAGGGAGGGAAGAATAGGAGAAAACCAATTGCATAATTTTTCCATAAATTATGGAAGGCAGGAGTTGAATTACAAAGTGCTATTCTCAAATGAAAATGTGCTCAGTTATTTCCACAAGATTAGTCATTCTGTGGTTCCGTGCACAGGGTAAGTGCAGGGGAGGAGATTACTAAAAGGGGTGGCAGCAAACTGTCGTTAAGGAGGAGACTTAGGTGTTCAGTGTGAACCTGGGAGGGTTCAACCCTTGGTACCTGTCCTTGCCCTGGCACTGGGCATCGTCCTCTCTCTCCTCCTCTGAATTGGGTTCCGTGACTGGTTCCTCCTCCTCCTCCTCATCCCTGAGACAATGCCAGGAAAAGAGAAAGGCACACAGAGACAAGATGGAAAAAGCAAGATGAGCATTACAGACACAGAGATGAGACAAAGCAGCAGGTCCAGCTGGCTGAAATGAAAAGGAGCGTTCTCGATCTGTTAGGAGAGTGAGTTCTGAGACGAGGAACGTTACTTGTGGGGAAGAGACACCATAACCCAGAAGAGGTCAAATTTCTTGGTCAAGTTGACCGGATCCCACTACCTTGCACAACATCCTGCCCGCCACTACCCCCACCATGGGACTCTGAGCCTCCTATGTGGTTTCCCCTTCATACAGAATCATCATGTTCTTGGTGATGACCAGTTCCTCACATTTTTATCATATCCCTCTTGGTTAGAAACCATCCAGGAGCAGGTCAATCTGGCATTGACTAACCCTGTGGCGGACATACAGCTTTGGATGGCCTCTCCTCATTCTCAATGTGGGGTTCCAGGGAAGCCGATCCACCTGCTCTTCGAGGGAGGGTACACATATTAGGTGAAGTTTCTCCTGGTGCTTTCAGGAATAACTCACACCACCCTGAGTCTGGAGCTGCCTGAACCTTCTGATGGGAGAAGGTGGCCTATACAAAAGCCCATTAAAGAAAAGCAAGGCTGAAAAGGGAAGAGGAGAATGTAGCTCTGCTATAGCCTTTCACAGATAAACTATCTTAAGAAAAAAAAAAAAAAAGAAGAATTTAAGTTAGGTTTTATCCTTGCAGCTAAATGTGTATAAACTAAAGATTCTGATAGCTGTGTCATTACCCTCCTTCAGTCTCAGCCCAGACAACATCCGACTTACATGGCTGTCCTTGGAGAATACCTGAGCAATGCCCTGCAGGGCTTCTCAATCCCTTGCCTTCCTGAACTGCAGGGATCTTTGCCTTTTCTCATATCAGCCCTTTACACTTTGGATCTCAACATACAGAACTAGTCCACCAGGATATTCGGCCATCCTCCTCCCCAACCACAGCCGCCACCCACCCAAATCCTTCACCTGCATAGAATACCTGTCTCTTCTATCTGCCTACCATCATCTTCCTGCCTTCAGGCATCACTTTATCAAGATGTTCAACCCCTCTGCACCATTCTCCTTCAGCTGTTTTTATTACTGAAGTATAAAATATGTACACAAATCACTGAGCTTTCACAAAATTCCCTCTTCTAATCAGCACCCCCTTCACAGCCCCTTCCAGTTGCTTCCATTCCCCCAACTTGTATCAAAGAGCATGAGTTATTTGCTTGGTTTTCTTATCTAAAAGGAATCATACTGTGTGTAGTTTCGTTTGTTCAACATCTTACTTGTAGGATTCATCTATATGGTTGTGTGTATTTAAATACCAGGCATTCTCATTAATACATAGAACGGTCCTATGTATTAGTGAATATAGGACAGTTTAGTTATCCTGAATATACCAGTTTTGTTATCCATGCCACTGCAGATGATATTTGGGTACTTTTCAGTTTTGTTATTTTAAATAATGCCTATTATGAACATTATAACACATGACTTCTAATGAACATGTAAATTTATTGCTGTGCTGAATACATCCAAAGACAGGATTTGGGGGTCATAAGATATGCTCGAGTTCATCTTTATTATTTTTTAAGTGATAAGGCTAATTTACACTTCCATATATATGAGTATTGTGGTTTTCCACATCCTTACTAAGATTTAATATTTTGTTTATTTTAGCCATCTGAACTGTGCTGTTTTCTTGTGGTTTTAGTTTGCTTTCTCAGATGACTAATGAATTTGGGCACATAGTCATACTTTTAATGTCCATTTGGGTATCTCCTTTTTTGAAGTATCTTGCCTATTTTTTCAAAACTAGATTGACTTTTCTTTTACACTTGAAGTTTTTACATAATTTGAATATAAGCCCTCTGGCATTTATATATGTTACAAACATCTTTTCCCTGTGTTGCCTTTGTGAATGCTTCATGATGTCCTTTTAAATGAGTAGAAGTTATTAATCTTAACAAGGTCCTATTATTTATCAGTGCTTTTGTGCACTGTGTTCTAAATTTTTTTATTCTACAAAAAAATCAGCATACTCTAGTGATACATGCATATCAATGTTTATAGCAGTGCGATTCATAATAGCCAAGTTATGGAACCAGCCCAGGTGCCCGTCAATAGAAAATGTGGCATATGTACACAATGGAATTCTACTCAGCCATAAAGAATGAAATTATGTCATTTGCTGGTAAATGGATGAAATGGAGAACATTATGCTAAGTGAAATAAGTCAAAGTCAAGTCTCAGACTCAAAGTCAAGGGTCCAATGTTCTCTGGTATGCAGAAGTTAGAGAAAGGAATTTTTTTTTTTTTAAGGTGAGGATCCCAAACAGTGGCATAGAGGAAAGGAATTGAAGGTAAGAAGGGATAGAAAAGGGGAAGAACAGAGGAGAGAAACAGACCACATTTTTCTAAGTACATGTATGAGTATATTACAGTGAATTCTACCTTTATGTGTATCTATAGAGCACCAAGATAAAGGAAGGAAGGAGGGAAGACCAGTAGAGAAGAGGAAGGGGAGTATGGTTAGGGAGGAGTGGAGGAAAAGTGGTAGTAGTAGAGATTAAAGTGGAGCAAATTATATTACGTATAGATATGAACACATCAAAATGAACCTCACTACTATGTATAACTATCATACTAATAAAAACTGACATTTTTCTTGCTTATATCAAGGTTCTAAAGATATTCTGTCCAATACTTTTCTATGTATTTATCAATATGATCTTCCCCCTTTTTCTAAGATGTAAGAAATTACAACTGCATTTTTTAAAAATATTAAACCAAACCTGTGTACACCAGGACAAACCCCACTTCATTGGAATCTATTATCCTCTCTGTGAGGTTGGGTTCTGAGCTGTAATCCCCATTCCTTAAAATGTGTAAAGTTTTGAAATAAGTCACACAGGCTTCAATACAGAGGCTGGTAGGGGGACCAGCTGCGGAAACGAAGAGGAAGGGATGGACCTGGAACAGGATTAAAACAGATGATTCAGTTGAACCTGGTGACCAATTAGATGTGGCAGAAAGGAAGAGGGAAGCCCCGACAAAATCTCATGGCCATGTCTCAGGAACCTGGCTGGCAGGACCTCCATCGGAAGCAAGGAGACCAGATGAACAATGAGGGTGGCATGCCTCCTGTAATGTCAGAGCCCTAACTATACATCTCATCTGTTGTTCCAAAAAATGGCACAGCATGCCCTCACAGCCGCCCCTTACCAGCCACAGTCCTTGTCTCCTCCATTTCAATAGCACCAACCTCAAACTGTCCTCACCACCTCTAGCCTGAAGCCACCTTCCCTTAGCTTCATCAGGCATTCGCAGATGTTATTACTTCCCGTCTACCCAGAAAGCACTTGACCTTGCCAACTCCATGGGCCTCTCCTCTCTAAATCAAAACACTGTACCCCACCCTCCAAAATGACTTGATTCCATTTACTAACCCAGGTGTGGTTGGAGAAGTTCTCAGCCAGGTTGCTTGGTTTGCTCTCCAGCCCACCACTTCCCAGATGCACACATGTGGGGTAGATCAGTACCGGACTCCTGAGAGGACTGCACTAATATGCAAAAGACTTGGCTCACAGTAAGCATATCAGCTTGTCTTAGCTGTTAACTAGGATCATCTTTGTCTCCATCATCTTCAGGCCCTGAGGACAAATCTAACCTCCCCCACCAACACCACTCAGCTTCATGGCCCCAAGACAGAAGGCACAGTCCTCTGTGAGCCTTTCGCACCATGGACAGCAACACTTTCCCTTTTGTGACCTCCACTTATGTTACCCATTTTTCCCATTCTTCACCCTCCTATATAGCTACCTTGACCTACATCATAAGCTCTTTGGGATCCATATTCTCAACTCCTATGATAAATAGCAAGGTTACATCATACACTTGTCACATGACTATCACTAGCGACCGGCCAGGACTAGTGGCTGGGAAACCTTCCCTTGGGATCCTTTTTATTGAAAGCAATTCAAGATTTGAGGCAACTCAAAGGCACAGAGTTTCCAAAGTTAATTTAACTTTCTAAAATTTGGGTCTCAGGTTAATGTCATGTCTCAGGCTTCAAAAACACAAGCATGATATAAAACACATCATGATCTAAAAGTGGCGCTGCTATACCCAAAGGTAGCAGTTCTGAACCAGGTCAATTCTGTGTCCCCTACCTGTCCCCACTCCAATCCTCCATGGGATATTCATTAATGCCTAGGGACATTTTTAGTTGTCACCTCTGGGTGGAAGGGAGCTACCGACTAGTGGTAGAAGACAAGGCAGAAACACCCTACCATGCATAGGACAGTCCCACAGCAGAGGATTATTGGGTGCAAAATGTCAACAGTGCCAAGGTTGAGAAACCTTCCCTTGGGATCCTGAAGTGCATGTAGAGTCTAAGAATGTTCTCAGTGGTGCTACTTGGAATTGTCAAAAGCTGAAAATGACCCAAATGCCCATCAATGGAAAAAATGAAAGAATGTGATCTACTCCAGGTGGTAAAAAATGGATGACGGCTTCCTATGACGATGCATATGATCAAAAAAAAATATGGAGGAAAAGAAGGCCAAACACACAAGGCACATTTTTTTTTTAAAGTTAAAAAATGCAGAGTTGTATAATATGTTATTTACATATATCTACATAAGATAATGCTAATAAATAAAAACATGAGTCTACAATAAACATATTTAGGAATGTTGGTACCAGGCCTAGGGATGGGAGAGTGAGCAGAAAGAGATAAATTTGGGGTAATGCTGTAGTTTTTAATTAGGTCAGAGTCTGATATTCTTTATATTAATATTCTGTAAAATTAATCCAAATCCATATAATTAGGATGTTTTTAAAAGTAAGTCATTAGTTACACATGACAGTACCAAAAAAAAAAAAATAAAGAAGAAAAAAAAAGTCATGCCAGGCAAGGTGGGGTACTCTTGTAATCCAAGCAGCCTGGGAGGTTGCAGAAGGATCACA